AGCAGCGAGTGGTCTGGGGAAGAATGTCTCGGACTCTCGGGTTTAAATCAGAGCCCCACAGGTGTGTTCTCCTCTCTCCTCTCTTCTCCCTTTACACATCCACTTGCCCCTTCCAGCCAGCACTCCGTGAGCTGATCAAGTTCGCGGACGACACCCACCCTCATTGGACTTACAACTCAAACAAGTGAGTCCGCCTACAGGAGGGGAGGTGGACGGCTGGTGTCCTGGTGCAGTCGGTCACAACCTGAGTGAACGCCCAGGAAGACAGTGGAGATGATAGAGTAGACTTCAGGAGAGCACTGTCCCCCCGCCCCACCCTCCGTGATGGACTCCCCCCTACCTCTGTGGAGTCCTTCGTTTCCTGGGCACCACCCACCCAGTCCTCAAGGGGAGCCCCACCAGCAGCTCCCTCATCAAGGAAGGCCCAGCAGAGGATGTACTTCCTGCGGCAGCCCGAAAGCCAAGCTGGCTGCACCAGATGTTGGTGCAGGTTTCCACGGCATCATCGAGTTCCATCCTCCCCTCCTCCGTCACCAGTGAGGTTCGTGGAGCCACAGTCAGGGCAAAACAGAGATACAGGCATTGTGCGCTCTGCCGCGGCAGTTGATTGGCCTCAGCCTTCCATCGCTGCGGACTGTACGTCGCCGAGCTCGAGTCGGGGCAGGACGTCTCACCCGCGACCCATCTTACCTACAGACACCACTGTTTCTGGGTTACCGAAACTCCTGCTCCCTCTATTCATCGCCTACTTACCTCCCTCTCCTCTATGTACCGTCCCACCCCCAAAGTCATACAGAGGCTGTCAATCCCCTCCCCTACCACTCCCAGCATTCCTTGTCTAGTCTACCAGCCGTTGTTTGTCCCCTAATAATCGTATAGATGGCAGACCATCCCGCTCCCTCCCAGCGCAGCTAAAGCAGTTCCCCTCAAGGTTCTACTATGCGTCACACCGATAGTTCTTACACCTAAACCATGTCGTAGAGACCACCACCCTCCCAATCACCCTACCCAAAGAGTCCTGTGTATCTCACATCACCCAGAACATACTGTTTAATCCCGCTCTCGATTGCCCTGTGGTTTCCCTATACCAAAGTCAATCGCTCAGCCTGTTCTCACCCCACAATATCACAAGACGCATAAGCTCACCTCTAATCTTGTCACTTACACCCAGTAGCATTAACTCACAGGAGAAACACCCAGATGCTACTTTTTGAATCTCTCCTTTAAATCTCTTCAACGGTATCTACAAATCTACACTATCCTATAGTATGTCACTGTCTACCGTATCGGATCCCCGCACCACCACTCACACTCTAGAACTCAAGCTCGTCACTCTTGTCGTTCACTCCTTAGTCTGTTTCTGCCTATCCAGTCAACCGCATCTGTGTGTACATCACCCCTGAGCATGATATATCACACAGTGTATGTGTTAGCACCCTACAATGAGTGCCATAATTTACCCCCCACACCATCGCGATCTATCCCTCACTCCACCCCCACTTCACCACCCTCCCCTCCTCCCTTCGCAATACACCAGACCAAGAAGCAATAGTCTCAATAGATATAGAGCACACATATCTGCAGAAAGAATCCCTAACACCTCTATCTCCATGACAACTATATACACATGCCCTACGTTGCACTCCATGCGCACCTCACACATCCCCCTGTATCACAGCGTCCAGTACATCACCAGCTCGCCGCTCCATCACCAACCACCTCACCCCCCCATGTATGTCTTGCTTCCTATTTTATCCTCGCATCCCGACCGTGCTCCCTCCCTGTGCACCTTTCTAGTCTGATACAGCACCATACCTATTGTAACTCCTCATCTTTGTCCATATCCCACGAGAATCCCTCTGATTCTCTCCACGACAGTCACTGCCCCACATGTGCTGTAGAACATAATTCCTCATGCCGTCATTCCCGCACGCCATGTAGATGTGAACTCACCCTTCTTGCTAATCGTCGCCGCTTAATGTGTCTACTAGGCCCTATATAAGTAACTAACGAGGACTTCATACTAGCATATTCTCTACGTGTGTACAGCTGTCTCACTTGAACTCAACTATGTTCCCCATAGACTAGTTGTATGCTGCCGTCTGAGCGAGAGACCCCCCGCTCACATATCTAATCGTGCACACGCGATACTAACCCACCCCACAACGCTACTCAACTCCCAGAGAATCTCTAACCTTTTACTTGTTCCTCGTAGACCACTGTGACACTCCTACAAGCCAATAACTCCACTCTTCTCCCCTACTACTGCATTACATAATGCAACCGTTTATGATTGAAGAGAAATATAAAAGCAAAGCTCCACTCGATGATCCCCCCATGTCACCGAGATGTCCCTCTCTTCACCAGATACTAACGACACCTCACCACTGACCCTCCTCCGTATCAGTCATCTTCGCATAACTAGCCTTACATTGTTGCGAAGTGTGTCTCCTTTAACCCCCCCATACCATGCAGCTATAGCTATACCTAGTACACCCTTTCTGTAAGAATTTACTGTAACCGTGAAATGTTAGAGATCAGCACCTGTGCCTTTCCTATACTGATACCACAGTCAACGTTCAAACAGTGTCCCTCAAATGCAACTTCCAACTCGCTGAGCACCTGTACACTCCGCGTCATACTAATTCATTCCGTAGTAAGTGTGTCCCCATACCCATAGACAGTTCCAACCCGTCGTAAGTTGAACTCAGTGTGCCTATGTTTCCGTCACTAAGTTATGAAAGCAGGCGTACTAGTCCGAGATAATAAATGACCACCTGAGTCGCAGCCGGCACCTTAATCGTCGACCTTGGTACATTCTGGCATCTCACCTACGTGACTATATCTCTATGAGTCCCTTCTTGACCAGAATCATCCTTCGCTTCCAATGACCGACTGTGCATACTGTGTGCGTAGATGGGTGACTGTCTTCACGGTATCCCAAGTCGCGAATACTGACCCCAAAGAGCTGACCGATTATTTCAGCCCTCCCCAGTGGTATTCATCCCATGCCTTCCTACAGGAAAGATGTGTGTAGAATAGAATACATATAATCTCACCCTATGTGTTTCTCCCCGCTCACATGTTAAATGACGCCCTGACACCCTCCCAACACCCCCTCGTAGTATCACTATACGCCCTCCCAATGACTTATCAGTGTAGCCCTTTTTCCAGATAGCTAAGACCGCGTGGATATCAGCGTCGTAGTTCACTAGCCGCAGAACTGTGAAACACCTAGTAACCCGCTCACAATCATCTGTGGCCGTACTAGTCATCCACTGTGCGAGTTTGTTTCGATTCTCGCGATTTTGGAAGATCTCGGAAAAACGTCCGGACGCTGTATCTAGTTGAACGGACGATGTGTTGAATGGCCCACACTAGGACGACGAAGATAGTGACCATAGGTGTGTACTCGCCGTTACATATACAGACTCGGGTGATAGTAACGAGAGAAATATTGTGAGGAGTCATTAAGATATGAACGCGATATGCCCGCCCGCAACCGTCGCAGACTTAAGCCACAGTTAATAGGTCACTCGTGGTAATACCATCTACACTGAAGTAAGCGGCCCCTCTTCAGTCAGAGTCTGTGGCCTCCATCGCTCACCCGTGTCTGTGATCTGTGCACACAATGTCGCACTCAGACGTTTCATTGCCATTTGCCGTGACACAGAATCAATACTACAGACATTGCTGAAACTCTCCATCGCACCTCGTTGTCCCCCGCGTGAATCCTCCATACCCCGCCCTCGCCTACTTATCAGCCGTGTAGATCACAATCACCGAGGTAATCACCGCCAGCAATTTACCAATACACATAAAACAGTAAACACATGGCGCTACTGTCATGGAGAATCGATCGGACTCTTAAATACAGTTTCCAACACGTGCAAAATCATTAAAGGCTTTGTTCACACCTGACAACGCTTGTGGATAACACAAACAGTTTGAGTAACCGAGATAGACGTCCCTGCATTCAGAGAAGCGATATCTTCTGCCGTGCGAGAAGCTGGCAACATGGCTTTTCTCCAGGGTGCAGAAGAGTCATGTGACAATCCTCAGAGCTTTGTTTAATATCTAGAATATTATAACGCAACCTCCAGAACAGAGAAGCTCACAAGCAACGTGATTATCAGAGCAGTTGCAGATGCGGAGATCACCTTGGTTTGCAGCTCTGTGGTGTTTTGACTATAGATATGAGAGTTCGCTGTTCGTCAGAGCTATATATCATCGAGACAGCCGCAAGATACCGGACCACTGTGTTATATATCCGATGCCATGGTGCAGCGTGGATAAAATAGTTAAGCTATGAAAATCGTAGGAGTGTTAGTGCTGTGGTAAATTCCTTAAGTTTCCGGACTAGTCGCTAATGTAGCTGCTGTGCTCGCGGAGCGCTATGTTAAGTTTCTCGAGCTCATATGGTCGCTGAGTCGGTTGTGTAGATACACCACGGTTCCGGTTAGACAGAGTGTGTAAATTAGACCTATACGCGAAGACTAAGTGCCGATCTTCTTCGTGGATCTGCGCACCTGGTGATATGTCGAGTTGAGAAAGACAATGTGTAACAGTTGTAACGGTTTTAACAGGCGAGTGATGAGAGAACTATGTAGATATGTGAGTCGGACGCACAGTTGTAATACTGTAGTTTACTAAAGTGTAAACGCCGTTTAAACAGATATAAATATAAAGTGCGCCTGAGCATGTAGAATTATCAGAATTATGTGATACAACTTTTTATTCCTTTGCTCTTCTATAAATAAAGATAAGTATATCTCTAGAAAAAACTGTTTTTTCATTGGACTGTTCACTTATATTAATAACCCGCACATACTCAAATACTTATTATATGATAATGTTTTAATATAACGTTTTTCCTTTCACAACATATTAAAGAATGGAATTCCTACACACCTGAGGTTGGTTCTAGCAGATTGGAAAGGACCAGCAGCAGAGGTAGAAGAAACCAGCAGCAGGGGGAAGGACCAGCAGCAGAGGATAGAATGCCAGCAGTCAGGGTGAATGGACAGCGGTCAGAGGGAAGGACCATGCAGCAGAGGAAGACCAGCTCAGCGGGGTCAAGGTACCAGAGCAGGGAAAGAGAACCAGCCAGCAGGGTGGATAAGGTACCAGCAGTCAGAGGAAGAACAAACAGAGGTCGGGTCCGCAGCTACCAGTCAGCCTGGTGTGTGAGTCAGGCTCGGCAACAGCTTTTGTTCAGTTATGAAATAAATTTACTTTTTAAATTCACGAGCAATGAGAGTAAATAATTGTTGACTCTCTTATAAAATGTTTATACTCATCAATAACAATTGCTAATAACCATCTGGACAAACAACAAAGTGTAGAAAGTTGAGGCAGCTTGCATGACTGTCTGGAATGTGGTACATTTTATTTGTTGCTAGTTGCTTATTAGGAACGTTACTATTAACACAAAAAAAACTTATTATTAATGGCTAACTTATATGATCAAAAAAAACGCAGTTAAAGCGGGCAGTCACAGATGACTTCGTTCCCATACAGTGTTGTGTTAGCTACAGACCTGCATCTGACTGCTCCTGCCGCTTGCTGTCTGTCTGCTGCTGGTTTTCTTTCCTCTCTGGAGGTGGTTGTACCCGCTCTCCCCTCGCCTTGGTGCTGGCATGTTACTCCAGTAGTTATGGCCTCGCCGGGTGTGAGGAAGGGCTCCCAAAGAAGGAGATGTCGAGGGCCAAAGTATTTCCACTCTGCCTTTTCCGCCTGATTGCGCGCACCACTTTGCTTACTCTCCTTCTCCTCCTGCACTCCTCAAGAACTGTCACCTCATAGCTTTTCCACCTTTTTTGTTATTATTCTTTTTTATAGTGATAAAAGATGAACTTGTTGAGCGGGAACAGACAATCATAGCGACTGTACATTGTACTTAGAGACTCCTAAATGGCGTGTTACTATTAACATGGATACAGTTGTGAATTTTTGATAACTTACCATCATTCTCGATCTGTCCTCACTTGATTCCTCCTCCAAGCAACGGTTCCTGGCTGATTCCTGTTCCTGTTTATAGTCTGAACTGTGATTATCGCAAATTAGTCTTGGGCACGGAGCTCACAGTCCACTTTATAATTCTTTTCCCAGCTTCCGACACCGTGCTTCATGCTTCGCTCGAGCGGATCCTCCTGTCTCCTGATTGTGGGTTTGAAGCCCTGCGTCTAAATGCTCAAAAGCTCAAGCTTTGCTCAGCTCTTCGGCGTCAATGGATTTTTTGCGCCGGCCAAAGAGACGCGCGCCCGATTTCACCATTCACTTTAATGGTAAAACCTTGACGCTTTTGTATGCCGAAGTTAAGTCGGTCTGAACGGCCCCATAATAGTTGTAACAGTTTTATAAACGAATAAAACTTCACAGCTTGTAATTTTGTTCTTCTTGACTGTCTGTAAACTACACGCAGTTTTAGAAGTGATATACCTTAATGTGAACGTGGACTCTTATTGTAATGAAGAATAACAATCATTCCGAAAGACCAAGTCCGCAAGAGAAAGAACATTGTTAGTCCTTAGGTCAGGTTTGACCCTCTCGCGAGGGACCATAAAATTTTCTTTTAGAATCATTTACGGGAGTCCTATACCTGTTTTCCAAGAAAGTGAGAAGCCAAGGTAGTGCGAGAGGTGGCGCTTATTTTGGGCATATTTCAGAGATGCACGCGATTATCGCACAGGCCCTTATACCCTGGGATCTGTTTCTCCTCCAACGTTTTATCTTCAGTCTGAACAAGACAAACTATCACTGCTGAATAACGAATTATCTTTGTCCTGTGGGATCGTTTCCAGCTCCAGAATAGTGAGAAGAATGAATCATGTGCCAAGATGTTTTTTAAGGAGTAGATGAAGAAACTGAAGCACAAATTCAAGGAGCAAGTTCAAGAACAATTCTACTTGGCTTTCTGTGATATGGAATGGTGTTCGTGAGTCCTCTAAAGCCCCTCATATGAACACAAGATGATGGATCATGGAGAATACTCTTCAGTTGTTTTACGCAGCCGTCTAGACTGATGTCAGGGTCCTGTGAGTGTGGACTTAGCTTTGCTTTCGCAGCACAATCTGCATCCCGCTGCTTCTCAGGACAAGCTCTCCTTGCCCAAGCTCAACCTGCAGGTGGATCATATGACTCTTGACGTGACAGGAGCAGCTTCGTGCTGGGAAGAATTTTTCCAGGACGAGGCCCAAAGTTTAAAAAGACAGCTCAGGGCTATGTTCTTTCTCCATGCACTTCTTTCTGTGACACAAACCACTCCTTCTCTGTAGCCACAATTTGTTCCGTAAGTTTTAAAGTACTAGACAGTTAAGATATACTGGTGTTGTTGCCTGTTACTTACAATGGTAATATGATAATTAAGTCATTGGACACAAGGAGTGAAGTATTACGCTGTCCCAGGCACTGGTAGGCTGAAATGTGGAATTAGACTTCTTCTGCCTCTCAGCAAGAAGGTCTGGGTTTTTCATATATCCGGTTTGGACCTCAGGGCCTTTCTGGTGGGGTTTGCTTATGATCTCCCTGTGTCTGGTACGTGTTTCCTACCAGGTGCTTCCGGTTTCACCTATCACTAAAAAAATTATGTACAAAAGGTCTGGGCAGGCCTCTGAGTGAGAGAAGACCCCCACCTCCAAATACAAATAACCATATTTGTACACGCTTGAGACTCCGATGTGTCAGGTGAAAAGGCTGGTTATAAATAAAGTATTACTATTACTTACTATAGCCTGTGTCTTATCAAGGCAGATAACATTTTGTATAGTGTGTTTCTATTACATATCTCTTATTCAATTCCGTCACATTTCAGCCCGCTACTAACCAACCCGTACTTATGTTGTAGCAATAATATCTCTTAGTAACCCAGTAGTTAATGTGTTTTGTAAAAAAATCAAAATTAAGTCGAATTGCGTCAAAAACGTTCCGTGTTCTTGTCTTTAGTTCCTGTAATGATTATTGTATGTAATATTCACAAATCGCACATTTTCATAGGATTCTTAGCTTTAGCAGTGGGACAAGCTAGCTTTTTTATGACCTTGCGCTTGGCCCCCTCTATTCACTCTCCGCGGCCCACCAGGGGGCCCATGGATCCCTCTATGGGAGACTCTCCTCTGATTGCTGTTAGTCATTAGCTATAGAACTTAGCATCTATGAAAAAAACACCTTATAGTGTCAACTTATTACAGCCAAAGGAGATAATTTAACTTACCTTGAGTAAATGTTGCCGGAGGCAAAATTTTATTTGTTGTATTTAACAACAGCTTCAGAGAACTAAGAGACAAAGTTTTTATTTCAGCCGGGGATAGGGCTCAGCGGAGCCTATTCATGAGGAGACAAGACAGATGGATAACGTGGTTTGTAGATGGTTCAGAATATGACTACATGGTGTTCTTTTTATTTTATTCTAGACTTTGGTTTTCCCTCATATCCCAGTCTTTCGACGGTTCCCCATACAGTAGCAACACAGTATATAAAATGTCACATTAGAACAGTTCTAACCCAGCCGCTCGGCTAGCTCAGTGTCGGTCGAGCATGGAGACTCTTCAATTCTGAAGAGAGGTGTCGTGGGTTCGCGTGCCCCACGTTGGGCGCAAAGTTTTTTTGATTATGTTTTTCTATCATGAGTTGGGCTTACAAACTGTCTTTTTCCTTGCGAGATTTTACGACACATATTTTGATTAAAAAACAGACAGATCAAACTTTCAAGAAGTACATTTTCAAATCAGTGGTGTTTTTGCAACAAGCCAACTCTGATTCATCATAACGAATTATGTGACAGTAGCAGGTCATAATCAGGTTCGTTGTCGACAAATTGATACGGTAAGATCTATATAGCAAATAGGGAGGACGTCGTCGTCTTACCAGGTGACTCTTACCCGATGTTCCATGACCATCTCGTTTCAAATTTTTAAAACGTGAACATAAAATCCCCTGAAAACAAGCGTTGAGTTGGTCTAGTGGTTAGCATAGCTTGCCTTCCAAGCCAGTTGACCCTGGGTTCTGATTCCGGCCAACGCAATATCATTTTTGTGAGCTCTCAACATTTTGTACTCACGACCAGCAACTTCTACATTATTGAAGAACGGTACATAGGAAATAAACTATGTACTGCAACAAAATGGCACACGCGGTTTGTGCGATAACTATTGTACACTCCGCTGTAGATATTCATACACATCCCTGATTTGTCTTTCAGGAATAGCTTTTTTTTAACTGTAATGTAGGTGGTAGTTTACACCTAAACAGTGCTGATATCTTTAATGATTGGTAGCCGTTATAGTTACGAATGCATCGCACAGGATTAACACCTTAATACAAACAGAATGCATAGCATGGCTACGCTAGTGCCGTTCAACCACTAGAGTGTGTGCAGACGTGCCTGTTATTCTGGAGCCTTGTCAGAAAACACTTCCAACCAAACAAATTGTATTTTGTGTTGGCTGTAGGAACAAATGCGCAATTACTTCTTGAGACGTCAAGTATAAGCGTAGCATTTCTAGGCATAAAAATATCCTAGTTTTTGTGGCTACTATCCTGTTGAGGACAAACAAGCAAATACATGTCTCACAATTGCAAGAGTACATAACGCGGTTGCACTCGGTTGAATTGCTTTCAAATGAGGTGGTAATGCGCTCAACAGGCAAGTTACCATTTTAATTGGATCAAAGTATCTACTCACATAATTTTCATTGCGTTGTTGTAATAGTGTTACAGCGACTGATAGAGCATTTCTACTGCGTTCGCTCCAACAATTCACACCACCGCGCGGCGCTATACGCACGCCTGATTGACAATGCAAGAATAACCAGAGCCATCTACATCAAAGCATCCATGAAGGGATAGAACTAGGTATATAAAGCAACAGAAACTCACATAATAAACCATCACACTCTCTACACAGATACACTGCATTTAAAGTTTACACGACAACGCAGTGTAAGTTTACACCGCAACTGCATATTAAGTTTTACACTACAAACTTTGCATTTAAGTTTCACACAACTGCTATTTAAGTTTTACACAAGTGTCTGCATTTAAGATTTACACACAACTGTCATTTAAGTTTTTACCGCGCACAACTGCACGACAACAGACTTTGATTTTAGATACCCTACACACA